AATAAGTTCACATTCTTGCAGAACCTTTGCTTCGCTAGTTCCTTTGGTAATACTACAGACATGAGTTTGATTTTCCAAAAACTTAAGAGGTAACTTTAATGTCGAGTGCGCAGTACGGCCACCTTGAAGCAGCGTAGCAGCGATACCGGAAGAGGCGACCGCAATCGCAATCTTTGACTGATGCCGGATTTTAGCCAATAACAAATTAATGACAAATGTCTTTCCTGTTCCACCAGGTGCATCAAGGAAGATTATTCCACCAGCTTTCTTCTCGATCTGATTCAAAATCGCATTGTATGCAGCTCTCTGATCCGGCACCAACAGTGGCTCATTTGCTGTTATATAAGCATCCAACTCTTTCACATCATAGCTTGTTTCTCTGAGCATTGCACTGTTTAATCGATCACCCGAATTTCGTTGAGGAGTTGGGAGCTCTAATTTCTCAAGTTCTTTGCCACCCATCTCTAAAACTTTACTTTCAATAATAATCAGTGCTTGATTAAACATATCTGGTGTTTAATCCAAATTCATTCCAGGATTTTGTCTACGAGCATTTCTCAGAATGTCTTCAGTCAAGCTTTCTTTGTACGACTCCCATAATTGTTTTGGACTGGATGGTCCACAAACAGCTAGTATAAGAGCGAATAGATTTCTTAATCTTGCCGGCGATTGAGCTGCAGCTGCTTCGGACATGGTGGCATCCCATTGCTGATCATGTTCCAGTAATCCATGTAGTTGACATGCTTCACGAAATGTTGCACAGATCCGACCGTTTACAGTTCGAAGAACTTCAAATGAAGTAGGACCTCTGACCGCATGAAGTAAGAGTCGTAGGAAAAAGCATTCGAAATTGTTAGGATGCACAGTGTAAACACGACCCAACGTATCTCCTTCTCTAACGTCTGGATAGCCAAGCGCAGCAGTTCATTGAACACGCCGCTTAAACACTTTTTCAGACGCGTTCCATGTGTAGTATTTTGGAACATTACAGTACAACAGCGTTTTGGCAAAGTCGTCTTTCTGGCAGAGTAAGGAAAACGCTGTTAGTGTTGTTCTTGGTGGTTCATTAACTTTCTCATGAACATTATCTTCGATGAAATAAATGCGTTGACCATTTTCCAAATGAACAGCCAAATGAACAACGGTTGGATATCGTTCGTGAATTGGAAAATCCAAGATTCGCCAGACTGCCTCATTGCTACTGATGTATCTACCTAACTGGTAGTTACTAATTTCATCAACTGGTGCTCCATCTCTTCCCAAACCGAACACTGCCTGATCACTGCCCTTGTTGACATATTTACAGATGTATTTGATTGATTTTACCGAGTTGCAATATTCCACATTAATGTGGGCTTGAAAGATCCGAGAGAGTAGTGGACAATATGGCACAACCCACTTGTTGTCAATTTCAATTTCTTGAATGGAATTATTAATTCTCATTTTGATTTTGGCTTTGATACCACCATCTTCTGAACTTCTTCTTCTATACGATGGATATCCATCGTCACCGGTTTCTGTATCATGCAAGAGTTGTTTTGGATATCTTATTGTACACTTTTTGTTTTCCATACACGGAGAGTTTGGATTGATACTTCCACATGGACCGTGAATCATAGTCTTGATAATTATTTCAAATAGTCGAGGATCTCGTTCAGGATCAGGTAGTTCTGCGCTGATCACGCTATCTATTTGATTCGCTTTAATTTTGTTCTTCAGCCATATCAAAATATGAGCATGTGGTAGTCCTCTCTTTTGCCATTCAATAGAATACATCCAGCATCTTGTTGACCCAAATACATGGGTTTTGGTAATAATGTTGACCAATTTAATGAGCTTTTGTCTGAACACTCTTGCTAATAGGTCATGACGATCAGAGGGAGCTTGACCTTCCATTAATTCTTCTTGAATTTCTTGCCACTTAGGATTGCAGGTGAATGTTATAAAGAGGTCGGGTCTTCCATGGTTTCTTACATAAGTCATAGCGTCTTGTGTATACTCATGCATGTGCCGGGGGCTTCCAGTGAAAGTTGCTGGTAGAATCACTAATTGACCAAGATTGTTAGCACGTCCATCATTGGCTATAGCATCTTTCAGGTGAATGTATTCATCCACTCTAAGCTTTTTTGATTATAACGTAGAAAAGATAATCTTTCACTTTCGATCTTAGCGTACATGTCAACCACATACTGATGGAAAAGTTGTCGGCACTGTAAGATATGATTGACAGCATCAGTTCGTACCCTAATTCTGTAAGCATAAAAACTCATAGCCGACACTTTTTTGCCAGTGACAGCCATTCGAGTTGTAGGATCAGTCTGTTCGATAAGAAAATGGTAGCCATCCTCACCTTTCCAAAAGATGAGAGGATATTGCAAGGCATCATACGATCTGTGTGTCTCAGATACTCTCTGTAACTGGCCATTTTTCTTCTCCAAGACAATATCTCGTTTCTCAAAGTCGTTGCCAGCGATGACAACCGCCACCTCATTTGTCACTGGCTCATTGAAACGACGTGCATGCTCTCCAGCAGGTTTCATGTCTGCTCGAATAAGCACCTTGTATTGATCTGTAGGCATTCTTTGAAGGGCAGTCTTGAAAAGATCAACATAAATGTGGTGCTCATGAACCATTCGTTGCAGTTTCTCCACAATGTCTTGACGTACGCCAGGCATGTTTTTGCAACGTTGTTGTACTTCTTTTCGATCGTCGCCCATGAAGTAAATTTGAAGAAATTTATGTTCTTCATTCGAAGGCGGCAGCAGAGATCCTACACGATGATATACTTGACCCTGAACTCTGAAAGTAGGCATGAAGCCTGAGTCAGACATTTTCTCTGACATGCCAAAAGATGTCATTTGAAAGCAGGAATTATATTTTCTAATGTTATCCAAGAAATGCTTCGATTCAGGCGTTGTTCCTGACATTAATGATTTCAGTGGTTCAGGAGGAGGCTGAAGTTCAGGTAACTTTACTTTACCACCAGAACAGCACATACCTCGTGTTTCTGCATGCCACTTGAGGGCATTACAGTATGGACAAACATCGCTCATTTGTCCAATATAAAGTTGAGGATGGGTGTCATAGTTGTTGGCTGGATCATAACGAAACGCTTCCCCTTCCATAAATGTCCATTGCGCTGCTCTTGAGGCTGCTTGTCGTCTACGCTGATCTTCACTTCGAGTCCGTCTCTGTATGGGATCCTCAGCTCCTCTTGTAGCTGCATGTCTGGCTCGATCTTCTTCCCGTCGACCTTGTCTCTGTTCTGGAGATTCAGCTGCTCTTGAAGCTGCATGTCTAGCTCGATCATATACCCGTCGACCTTGTCTCCGTTCTGGAGATTCAGCTGCTCTTGAAGCTGCTTGGCTTGCACGTTGACCATCAAGTCGAATGCGTGTGTCTTCAGAATCTTCAGCTGCTCTTGAAGCTGCTTGGCTTGCACGTTGACCATCAAGTCGAATGCGTGTGTCTTCAGAATCTTCAGCTGCTCTTGAAGCTGCTTGTCTTGCACGTTGACCATCAAGTCGAATGCGTGTGTCTTCAGAATCTTCAGCTGCTCTTGTTGCTGCCATTCTTCTTGCAGCTGATGTACTTCTTCCCAAAGAGGCTCTTTTTTTTACTGGCATCACGTAATATTTTTATCTAAATAAGAAATATAGAAAATAGAAAATGCTCCGAAGAGAATGAATTTGCAATCTTACCTTTTGAATTTACTGTTGATATCACGATCGAAAAATATTTGATAACCTGGACGCTTATAATTTTTATATGGAATATTGAACACTTACTCGTTTTTGGACAATTATGTTCAGTGATAGAATAGAATATTGTTTTTATTAAAAGCGTTGAAGAATAAGAAATACTATAGTGAGTTTAGTTTTATTAATAAAAAACAAAAGAAAAAGATACCTAATTATATAGATGCAAAACAATAGCATATTTCTATATCATCGTCATCATTTAGCATGACGTAAACATTCCAATGACGATATAAAATAAGATATATATGAGGAGGAATGTTATACATGGCATCATACACAACAAATGACAAAGAAATGAAGTCATATGTATTCAGGAATGTAATACAGCTGATTATTGAGTAAAATTGTATAAAAAGTATATATAGATACAGTTAATACGTCATATTTCTGAGTCATGAAAAAGAACAAAGACTTCATCTTTGTATGTAAGAAAAAATACATATGTCATTGTTGTAAGTAAAATAAACACAAACACATTTCTTTATGTATATAGATGAGCGCACAGACGGCCTTCGACCGCCTTCGCTATCAACTATTTTAATTTTTTGGAATGCTGCAACCCTATTGGTCGGTTTCATAGATCGCCTGCAGCATGCGTAGGATTCGTTTTTTTTTGTCAAGAAAAGTGAGCTCCAAATTGCGTAAACTCCAAATTTGGAGCTCACTTCCCATCCACGTTTTACCATTAAATACAGTCCATGTTTTTCGGTTTAAAGCAGTACGGCCCTATTTGACTGAGATGCTAGGTCGAATTGTATCTGATGATTAACAGACGCATTGCCTGTGATACTAGAGGCCATACCTGGGATGCTAGAGGGATCACCTGGGATGCTAGAGGCATCACCTGGGAAGCTAGTAGCATCACCTGGGATGCTAGAGGCATCACCTGGGATGCTAGTACATCACCTGGGATGCTAGGGGCTTCACCTGGGATGCTAGGGGCTTCACCCGGGATGCTAGTAGCATTACTTGGGACGCCAGGGGCATCACCCGGGATGCCAGTAGCATCACTTGGGATGCTAGGGGCATCACCCGGGATGCTAGGGGCATCACCTAGGACGCTAGGGGCATCACCTGGGATGCGAGGGGCTTCGCCTGGGATGCTAGGGGCATCACCTGGGATGCCAGTAGCATCACCTGGGATGCTAGAGGCATCGCATGGGATACCGGCGGTGTGGCAGGTGACGCTACTAGCATCCAGGTGATGCTACTAGCATCCCACGTGTTGCTACTAGCGGTCGGTAGTTACCGTTCCCAGACGGTTACCCGGTAACAACGGTAACGGTTCGCACGGAAGAAGTAACCAGTCACCTGGGTAACGATAACGGTTCCGTTACCAATTACCCGGGAACTGGTGACGGTTCCGTTACCAGATACCCGGGAACGGTAACGGCCAGGTACCAGTTACCCAAGAACGGGGTAACGGTAGTACTATTGCAGGACACCTATCGGTTCTCAAGTCCTATTATTGGGGGATACCCTTGGCTCCTCAAGTCCTACCCTCCGGGTTACTCTTGGGTCCTCAAGTCCTACCATCCGGGGTACTCTTGCATTCTCAAGTCTGACTACTCGAAGGTACCCCAGGGGGTTCATACTTTTTGCCCCTATTGTGAGGACAAGTGATGGGCATGTCGGGCCAATCATAGGGTTATCGAGGATGCTGTATCGATTGATTCGTATATGTAGGGGACTCCACCAATTCCATCACTGAGAAATAGAATTCCGCTATTTGATTGGTCCAAAAATTAGACCAATCAGATTTCAGGAGCTCTTTTTTCCCTTATTATTCGGACGAGACATAGACGTGTTCGGGCCAATCATAGGGTTATCGAGGATGCTCTATCGATTGATGGGTATATGTAGGGGTCTCCGCCAATCCCATCGCTGAGAAATAGAATAGAGCTATTTGATTGGTCCAAAAATAGACCAATCAGATTACAGGAACCCTTTTTTCTCTTATTGTTCGGACAAGACATAGCTGTGTTCGGGCCAATCAGAGGGTTATCGAGGATGCTCTATCGATTGATGGGTATATGTAGGGGTTCCCGCCAATCCCATCACTGAGAAATAGGATCCTGCTATTTGATTGGTCCAAAAATCGACCAATCTGATTTCAGGAGCCATTTTTTCTCTTATTGTTAGCACAAGACATAGCCGTGCTCGGGCCAATCATAGGGTTATCGCGGATGCTCTATCGATTGATGGATATATGTATGGGCTCCTGCTCAGTTCCATACGGCGAATTCACTGCTTAGGCATTTGGCCTCGAGGACCCAAGGGTATCCCCAATAGTAGGACTTGAGGGACAAAGGGTACCCCGTAATAGGAGGAGTTGAGGACACAAGGGAACCCCCAAATAATAGGACTTGAAGACCCAAGGGTACCCTCCAAGAATTGGCCTTGAGGACGTAAGGGTATCTCCCAATAATAGGACTTGAGGGTCAAAGGGTACCCCCTAATAATAGGACTTGAGGACCCAACGGTACTCCCCATTAATAGGACTTGAGGGCCTAAGGGTTTCTCCCGATAGTAGCACTTGAGGACCTAAGGGTATCCCCAATAGTTGGACTTGAGGACCTAAGGGTATCCTCCAATAGTACGACTTTAGGATCTAAAGGTGGCCCCAATTGTAGTACCGTTACCCGGGAACGGTAACGGTAACTGCCAACCCCTAGATGCTACTAGCATCCCAGGTGAAGCCTTTAGCATCCCAGGCGATGCCTCTAGCATCCCAGGTGATGCTACTGGCATCCCAGGTGATTCTGCTAGCATCCCAGGTGAAGCCCCTACCATCCCAGGTGATGCTACTAGCATCCCAGGTGATGCTACTAGCATCCCAGGTGATGCCGCTAGCATCCCAGGTGATGCTGCTAGCATCCCAGGTGATGCTGCTAGCATCCCGGTTGAAGCCTCTAGCATCCCAGGTGATGCCTCTAGCATCCCAGGTGATGCTACTAGCAAACCAGGAGATGCCTCTAGCATCCCAGGTATTGCCTCTAGCATCGCAGGCAATGCATCTGTTAATCATCAGATACAAGTCAACCTAGTATCTCAGTCAAATAGGGCCGTACTGCTTTAAACTGAAAAACATGGACTGTATTTTATGGTAAAACGTGGATGGGAAGTGAGCTCCAAATTTGGAGTTTACATGTGGAGCTCACCTTTCTTGACCGTTTTTTTTCGGAGAAAAATACATGTCGACCTTCCCCTAGGTGTAAAGACCATTTCTGGAAAGTTTCATAGCATTTGCTCGTACGGTCTTCAAATGCATAGCGAACAGACAGACAAACAAACAGACAAACATTCTTCTTTATATATATAGATATGTTGATTTGATTCACACAATTTGTTTCGTCATAATCCTCTTTCTCACAATTCAAAAACTTTATAAACAAATTCTTATCGATAATTTTAATCGACATTCTATTACAAATTATATAAGGTGCCAGTAATGCAAAGTTTCCACAAAATTTATTTTTTGTTTGTTCACACATATTCTGATTCGTCGTGAGCTGCTGATCACGAATATCACCTTATTATTTGATTTAAGTCAAGTATTCATAGAGAAACACTCAAAATACTGAGTGATAGTCAAAAACATGAAAAACCCTTGTTTTCAGAAACAATGCAATAACTACTTTTTGCTCGAGTTTTTTGGATTTTTGAGGTGATATTCAGATTCCTCATGAAAAACTGAGTATAGAAATGTTAACTAAAGACTGATTGCATATACCGTGTCCAATAAAGAATTCGGGGTGGTATCACCCCTCATCCTTGTGGTGCGCGACTTTGTAGATGTATCTAGTTTTTTTTCCTATGAGATGGAAACTTTATTCAAACGCCATTAGAACCGCCGTTTGACGCGCTACAAAGTTATAGCCTTCTTTTTTTCTTATGGCTTTTTATGAGGGAGTACAGTGTCGCTTTTTTCAAAACATCTGTAAATCTTCTACCTAGTTTTTTATCAAAAACTCATTTTTCACTCAATTTTTTGAGAATGCGTTTAAACTAGTTAAGAATTATTCTGAATCCAATAGAAAT